TATATATATATATATATATATATATATATATATAATATCGGCTTGTAGACAAGCCAATAAATACAACTGCTGCTTTTCGCCTTAGGGAAACACCGGGACGTGTAGCGATTAGAGAGGGTATCGTCGATGAGTGCTGGTATTGCACTCTGTACCAGCATTCCATACCTCACGGGTTTACCCCGAATAAAGCCGACTAATGCTCCCGTAGGAACAACGCGTTTAAACGAAAAGATATCCCTGAAACAACGCCGAATATATCTTGGGGACCTATCATTACACACCAGTTTGATAATCAATAGATAGTGATTGATGATAAGCTCACAACACACAAAATAAGTACATATGTCTATGGTGAATGAGGAGTGAATCTCTATGGACAACACAATACACACTCTAACAGTGTCTGATAACAAATGACACTCCTGTCGATTTGCTGCCATGACCTGCATTGTCTCCAATCTACCAAGAATAGCACAACTGTAGAACGCCCCACGTGTCGGTCTTGCCTCCAACTTACAACATCCTTGTCTTTAGAGGATAGTTTTAGCTTGAATGTTCTTTTTTACCATCCCATGCACAGTACGTTCTTGGATTATGGGGCTTACCGTTTTTACTCTATTCACTTCTGCGTAAGAAAAAAAACCAATGACAGTTCTTTGGGTCAGTCTGGAAGACGGGACACAAATATTCCACCTTTCCGTCCATATCTTCACATTTTGAATTCACTTTACCTGTAGACCTACAAGGAATCTCGCCCCCCCCCCATCCTGGAACGGCAACAACGAATAAGGCACGATGCGACAGACGACAGCTGGGATGCGCAATACGTGTTCAAACCGGCGAAGAATTATAATTCGTACTCGGTGTCAACGAATTTCCCGCTGAATCATTGCCAAATACACAACAGCTTACCTCGGTGTTACTAACACAGTCATTCCATTCAAATTGTGTCAAACTACGTAAACATCGACAGTTGAAGACCTCCAGGCGATTAATGTTTATATATGTGTAAACTCTTGATCTCACAACCGTATGACAAAACTGACCGCACGGTTGCGCAGTATACATCTTCGAATTTTAAGAAAACGTTAAGCCGACAAAAGTGTTTCAGTTGTGTATGCAGCTCGAGATTTTGATACCCGTGCAGCCACTTTCAACATGCTACTGTCATCATTGACGCAATTACCTAGGCGAGATAAGTAATCAACAATGGGAAATTCAAGACCGTCTAGTTTCAACGCAATACGACTCGGCATTCAGTGCCATTACTTTGCATCCTGAGGGCGCAAACGCAAACCGAATGAAACAACAGGACTTGTTAGTCTGTCCAGTGAGCTTTGTGTGGCCTCCGTAAATTAAAACAAACAATGTTGTGAACGTAATCCCAATCACAGCTTTTCTACCGCTGCCCATTTAACGCTATCATCCTGGATACCATCAAGGAAGTGCTCCAATATTTCATCTACGACGAAATTGAACGGGAACGACAAATTAGGGCACCCTTGACGAACAGCGCTCTGTTTAGCTCGCCGTAGATTTTTATTCGATCAGAAGTATGCGAATAGTAACCTCAATAGGTTAACATACATCTGGGGCACTCCCTAGCACCAAAGTGAGTCAAATAGGTTAACTGAGTTGCACGGTTCTTTTAGCTCAAGGGGCACCGCAATTGTTGGTTGACAGCATGTGACGTCACCCGAGTAGTTGACGCAACGCAATGGTTTGATCAATGCATTCGCCACCTAGTCAGAATTTTGCCTGCTGTTAGTGCATAGTTGTTTCTCTCCAAGTTGTTTGTTATGACTACCTAAATTAAACTTATCCCACGGATAGCGAAAGCTAGAGCCGCTTTCGCTAACCTGCGACACCTGTAGCGCCACCATGACATCCGACTGCCTCTTAAGGATAGGGTGTACATCGCCGCGGTTCGTAGCGTTCCCCTTTATGGTTGCGAAGAAGCTGGCTTCAGCTTTGCCTTCGGTCGGTACAGCCCAC